GGATATTGTTCCTTTTGGATTGGTCACACAGTTCTCTTAATATTGTTTCATTCCTGGAGATCCTTTTATCTCTCTCTATGTCAGCTTCTATGCTTTCCTGTTCTCTGGTTTCTATTCCATCAATGGCCTCTTGCATCTTATCCATTCTGCTGATAAATCCTTCCAGAGTTTGTTTCACTTATGTAATCTTTTTCCAGGCATCTGTGATCTCCCTCCGGACTTCATCCCTTAGCTCTTGTATATTTCTCTGCATCTCCATCAGCATGTTTATGATTTTTATTTTGAATTCTTTTTCAGGAAGTCTGGTTAGGTCTGTCTCCTTCTCAGGTGTTGATTCTGTGATCTTTGTCTGCCTGTAATTTTGCCTTTTCATGGTGATAGAGATAGTTTGCATAGCTGGCACGAGTGATGGCTGGAAGAACTTTCCTTCTTGTTGGTTTGTGGCCTTCCTCCCCTGGGAGAACAGCGACCTCTAGTGGCTTGTGCTGAGCAGCTGCATGCAGACAGGGCTTCTGATTCCTGCATGGCTGCAATGGAGTTTATCTCCACTGTTGCTGTGGGCATGGCTTGCCCCAGGCTGCTGCTCCGATATGGTGGAGCCGCAGTTGGAGGGGGAGTGGCCGGGAGGCTATTTATCTCCGTGAGGGGCCTTCGTGCTCCCTGCTGCCCAGGGGGTTAGAGTGCCCAGAGATCCCAAGATTCCCTGCTGCTGGACTAAGTGTCCCCGGATGCTTCTGTCCGGTTTTGGGGTCCCTTTAATACTTCCAAAAAGCACTCGCAAAAAAAATAAATAAAAAAGCCGCTCGCTTTTCTTTGTCCCCAGGCGCCGGCCTCAGGGACCCGCTCACAGGTCTTGCTGTCCTGTTTCCCTAGTATCCAGGACCCCACGCATGCACTGTGTCTGCGCTCTGGCCCGGATGGCTGGGGCTGGGTGTTCAGCAGTCCTGGGCTCCCTCTCACTCCCCACTCCGACTCCTCTCCTCCTGCCAGGAGCTGGGGTGAGGGGCACTCGGGTCCCACCGGGCTGGGGCTTGTATCTTACCCCCTTCGCGAGTTGCTAGGTTCTCGCAGTTGTGGATGTGGTCTGGATGTTGTCCTGTGTCCTCTGGTCTCTATTCTAGGAAGAGTTGTCTTTGTTATATTTTCATAAATATATGTGGTTTTGGGAGGAGATTTCCGCTGCTCTCCTCATGCCGCCATCTTGGCTCCACCTCTGGGTTTGGTGTGGTTTTGATTTTTGTTCCCTTGCTTTTTTGTGAGGAAATGGCAGTAGGAGATGGCAGACCTGGGAAGAAACATTAACCGTTCCTTCCTGTCCTTATTTAGATGCAGAATTCTCATTTCATCTCTGTGTCTCCATCACCTTTTGCTGAGTTCCTTAGGTCACTTCCCAGTGTCAGTCAGAGGCCTCTGCAGGACAAGAACTTCTATTGTTTTTTTGGTTTCTTCTACATCCAGCTTGCCTCAGTTTCCCTGTAAGTCAGCCCTCACTCTACTCATTCACAAACCTAATTCCTTCTCTGAGAATGGAAAGGAGTAAAATGTGAATGCAAACCATGTAAGTGTCTGCAGACAGTCTACTTAATTTAGTCAGCATATTTTTGGTGATGATCACAATGGGCAGGTGCTAATGTGGACATTGGCAAATATACTGGATAATCTCTGCTTTCTGGAGCTTGAACTTCTTTTTGGGGAAGAAGTTCAAAAGAATATGAAGAGTTCAAAAGAGGAGCATTACTACCAATACCATATGACACAAGGCAGGCTGTGGTTAAACATCCAGTGAATGGCATGGATACTGACTGTTGAGGAGTTTGGGAGTGTGGGGAGAGCTTCCTTTGGGGCCCACCTGAATCCTGAAGTGAATGGAATTCAGTTGTGGTCACCACCTTCTATTTGCATGACACTAAAGTTTACAAAACACATCAGTTCCACTTAATATTTAAATCACAGGTGTTCTAGCCAAGGAAACTGAGGCTCATCCAGGTCTCCTGGGAGCAGTGAGCCCTGATCACAGGACTGGAGCTCTTTACACTAGCAGAGGCCTCCCCTGGAAGAAAGTGATACAGAAAAGAGCTGGGAGGGGAAGCTCCAGTAGCCAGACCATTGGGGAAGGGAATCTAAAGGATCTTGAAAGTGGAGGTGTGGTTCTGTGCTAGGGAAATATGTGGCCCAATGGACAGCAACTGACCTGCATTACACCTGCCATCTTCTCAAACTGTTGGCCCTGGGGCCTGATTTATTGTAAAGACATGTTTGTTTGGTCTGCATGGTAGTTTAAATTGTGTGCATTAACTGAATTGCCACGTTTCACAAAATGAAGTGACCCCCCCACCCCACCCCACACATTCAGATTGCTAGCTTCTCTTGATGATCAGAATCCCTGGTGATTCTGAACCACTGTTTTTATGGCGACTTTGAGCTGGAACCATATAGCAACTGCCTCTAATGGGGCAGATGCTCTGCAGTTTTTCCAGGGCCCCTGTAGGCTTTTGACTTTCATCCCTTGATTTCATGGGGATCCTACAAGGGGATGTTATAATGATGGCACTGTAACACTTCCTAGATTTGAGTATTCTCTTGTAAATTGAGAGACAAATCTGATGCAGTTGAAAGGGACAGGAAGCATGGATTGAAGCCCAGCTTTGCCATGTATTGCTTGTGTAACCTTAGCTAAAACAGCTGACCTCTTCCAGCTTCAGTTGCATGGCCTTCTGATTGGGTAAAATGACACCCACTTCCAGTGAGGGTATGAGAATTGTGTGACTTAATGGAAGTGTACATGATGCCTATGCTGTGCTAATGCTTCTCTCTGAAAGTACTCAATCTGGGATGCAAAGATACAGAGATTTGGTTCTACAAGATATTCCTCAAGTGATTTCTGAATTTTTGCATTCAAGTGGCAGTTTGGGGGAAAAGTGAGTTTCATGTAACTTTGAGGATACCATGGACACTGGGTAAGGGGATGGCAGAGAGGCACTGAAAGAGAGGCTGCTTCCTTTCCACCCCATAACTTGCAGTCCTGCTGGCCATCCCAGCCTTGCTCCCCCATTTTGCCAATGAACAGGATGTTTTATATATTTATGCATCAGAGAGAGGATAAGAATTGTAACTGGGGCACTTCTTGAAATCCACCATCAAGGTAAGAGAGTATTTTAGAAAAATCAAAACTTGGTCAATAGGGAAGGACAAGAAAAGCACCCACTTCTCATCCCTGGGCAAACTTCAAGAGCCTGCTGGGAATTGATTTCAGGACTGTGGCAATACTGTTAATGTTCTTTGCAGATGGCAGTGGCCTGTTAAGGCACTTAAAGAAGTAGATTTCATATGAACTATCAGGTGAAAATTCTCTCTGGACACCACTTTTTGGTTTGTCTTTTGTCCCAGCTCACTGAGTGGTTATTATGATGACATGCGTGGGTGAGTGGTAAAGTGGCTGCAATGACAAGTGCTTCCTGGCTTCATGTGCAGGTGTATAATTCTGTGTCTTTTTCCTTCCCATCGTCCACTTCCACACCATCTCCTGCAACTCTGTGAAATGCTGCACTTAATAGGCCATCTTGGATTTTCATTGTGATTCCTTTGTGAGAAGAAATCGGAGCAACCATATAAATGCTGCCCAGAGACGTCTGTCATCTTCTGACTTAAAGAGACAAACCACAGCTACATGATTGTTGATCGCTGGTCTGTGTTTACCCAACTTCTCAGACACCTGAGAGCTCACGTAACTCAACATTTATGAAAGTGCCATGTGTTCAGGTAAGTTTTGTTTGTTTCACCTTCTTGTTTAAGCTTTGCTTTCTAAAATATATTACTAAGATGCTTGGAAATTTGTGGAAGTAATAGCTTTGGGGGCCAAGTAGGTAAGTTTGCATCCTTAGGGTGCAAAGCAAAATTCTCTCCCCTCCTGGGAAATTGAGAGATGCTAGACAAAAAATAGCTCCAGTGATAATTATTCTATGCTTGAAATAGGCTGCCCTTGGACTGAAGCCAAATGTGTAAATTTGAGTTTAAATCATGCTTAATAGGAAAAGCAAAGGGGTAAACCCTCTGAGTTCCTCTGAAGGCCACTGGTGGCCTTAGCCCTGGTTTGCCACCTCCCTTTTATCTTAGCTGCCCTGTTTTCCTGGAGAGCTGCCTTAACTTGGGGAGCAAGGCTGAAGCAATGGTGCCGAGTCTCCTGCTGTGGGAAGGGAAGGAACCGGCCCAGTCATCCACGGATACGCTGAGGAGCTGACATAGCCCTGAGCTTTTCACTGAGACCTCCTGTAAGGTCTTTGCTTTTCTGATGCTGTTGGAACATATTTTTACATTACTTGGTAATAAGGGGACAGGGAAGTGTGAGTCCTCCCAAGCTGAATTGCTGCCATTGCTTTTCCAGCCACTCAGCAGCAACCATGGTGCTTTGCATCAGAGGTGATGGACACCATGCGGCTCTGTTATGGGGACTGGCTTCAGGCCAGAGGAGGAGTTATTTCTTTGCCTTTCTCAATGCAAAGCACGGCTGAACTGTGGCAGGTTGCAGCCCTGTTAGGAAGCCATATCCCTTACTCTGGATTTGTTGTTCTCCTGGCTTACACATGGCTTTCCCAGGACACTGAGGGCAGGAGGGGAGAGGGTGGCAATACATTTGGCATCTAGGGTGCTATTTCCACTGTCTGGGTTTTCCTGGTGTCCGAGGAGACACAACTTAAGTCAGGAATCTAATGCCTGCCACAGACTCCTGGCAAATGACATATAGAGGGTGAGTAGGAACTATTAGCTCATGGTCATGGCCCAGCAAGCCTGGGGAATAATAGTCTTTGGAAGATATTATTGGATCATTGGTCCAATTTTTAAGATGCACAATCTGTACAGTTTCAGAAAATGGGTATCTTAATTTTAACATGACTCAATGTAGCAGGAGAAAACTTCTTCAAACCACAGGGTTGGGAAAAGGCAAGGTCTTAACAGAATGACAGCGTGGCATAACCTCCTGCAGATGGGGTTGCCAGGCCCTGCTGAGCAGTAGTTTTCATCTTCTGTACCTTTGGTCTGGCTAGTCATTCTAACTGGTTGAAGTCAGAATTCAGAATCATATTCTCTCTTGTTATTAAGCCAGTCAGAGACGGAGAGAAAGGGCTCCTGGGATGCGGACCCACCCCTGCTCTGCCTATTCCTGCCCGTTGGTTCTTCTTGCTCTATAACCTCCAACACACCATCTAGTCTTCAGAGTTGGGCTACATGACCTCCTGCTAACTCAGGTCAACTTCTACATTTGGCTTTGGACTAGGTGAATGTGAGGGACAGAAGCAGAAAGTTCTTGACAGACTATATACTTGCTGGTAGAGAGAGAGAATGAGGAATCCAAGGGTGTGGAAAGTGCCCGTCATGTGGGTAATCATGTGATGCTAATGTGTGGAGGTGAGTGTGGGAGTTGAGAAGAGGAAAGTCTGAGATACTTTTATGAAAGCTCTGTGTCTCTCCTAGACAAAAGTGATGAAACACTAGTTGAGAATGTCAGCTGAGAGAAGTTGCTAGAAAATGACCTCATTCATTTATTCCTTCAGTCAGCAAAAATATACTGGGTATTATGAAGCTGCTGTAGGTAACAACATGTAAAACACCAAGTTATTGGCTCTCAAAGAGTATCTGGGCATCATAGGAACATAATTTACTATGTTATTTAATGCCATCTCCCATACTTGTTCCCCCTTGAGAAATTCCTCTTTGAATTTAGTCCCAACAAATCTTGTCTCCTGTGAGTAAATGGTCTATATCCTCTTTTTAGATCTGAGAATTTTGTAACTTACTGTGTTTCTGTTTCTGCTCTGTGTATATGCTGGAGTTCTGGGTTGTAATCCACGGAAATCAATTCTAGCTGTCTTAGGCAGAAAAGAGGATTTTGTTGAGAGGATATTTAATTATAAGATGTGTATTCAGGACCTGGCTCTATCACTGACTTGCACAGGAGCCTTGGGCACATCATTTGTCCTTCTCAGATCTCACTTCACTTGACATTCAAGAATTTTGATCTCCCTTTGTGTGGAGCACACTTTGAGATGGAGTGCTTGAAGACTAAGTTTGGAAAACAGACAGGAACCAAAGGTGCTCTGGGAAGAGAGGCCACAGAAACTGGCTGGGCCAAGGTGAGTAAGGTGTCCTCCTCTGCCCCTGATGTTGGATCACTCACTCAAGATTGAAGTCCTGAGAGAACCTACTGACTGGCCCAGCTTCAGTTTGGGGAGCTATTCTCTTTGATGTCCACAGTGAGGGGACAGCCACTCTCAAGAGTAATGAGGTGGTCTCCAAAAGGAAGATAGCGGATTAATGGCAAGGATGGTTGGATGCTGGATAACAGCAAAAACAGATGGCAGGAAACAGATCAATGTTCAAACACGGAAGTATTATCAACCCTTACAAGGAACTTATTTGTTCTTGGTGCCTTTTTTGGTTCCAATTTTTTTCTTCCTTTGTCCTTTATTATTCTAATTGTACAACATTCCTTGAATGGCAAGTAAAGTGAAATTTGAAAAAGATAAATGACTTGCTCGATGTCCCTGAGCTCATAAGTGGTACAGCCAAGTCCTGAACTTACATCTTTTGATTTCAATTTCAGTCCTCTTGTCCTTCCTAGGAGCTGATGCAGTGCAAAGTGGAGTGATAAATGTCCAGAAAGTTGCCCCAAAATGCTATGGTTGTTCTGAAGAGGAATAATTTCTTCAGGTTTGGAGAAGTTTATAGGTCTATGTGATTAACAACAAATATGTTTTCTTAACCAAAGGAAGAGTGCCTTTGTTTTCTCTTGCAAACCAACTTCCCCACCAACACAAAATGTTCCACCATTGCTAGGAACGTTGCCACGGTGAACATAAGGAGTGGTTTTATTGACATTTTCTCCCTGCCTGAGACTGTCCAGGACCGCAGGTTTATGTTTAAACTCTTTCCCTCTCCTGACGAGACTATCCTGTCATCCCAATGTGCCAGACTTCAGTTTTCTTGCCTTTTAGAAAAGAGTTTTCTGGGGGAAACTACATATTTATTATAGAAAATTTGGACAAAACATAGACCAAAAAAACCCCAAGCCACTCAGAGCTCCACCTATTTTGGTTATTTCATTTTTTATATGGATATGTGGGTATATATATGTTCTTTTTTGAACAATTGCAGTTAAATGATATTGTTTGATATCATTTTATTATATGACATAATTTTGTGAGCATCTTCTCATGACATAAATGTGGCACCTAAATTCTTAATTCAGTCCAGTAACCATTTATTGTGCACCTCTTTTGGGCTCAGCACTATGGATCAGAAATCTTCCCTGTCCTCGAGGAGCCACATTCTCCTCTCCTTTTAGTTTATATATGAAGGAGGAAAGCAAAGAAGCCAGGAATCAAAGAATCTAGAGAGCAACTCTGGATGCATGACTTCAAGCTGATGATTGTCTTTCTATATTAAAGATATGTGAGTTCAAAACACTTCCATATTTTTTTGAAAGTAGAGACCTATGACTTAGTTTTTACACGGAGCCACGTCAAAAGCCAACACAGTTCTGCAGATATGTCACTAAAAATATTTTTTAAAAGGAATTCATTATTTACCAGGTCTCTCAAAGAGTACAGAACAGGATTAAATTCATAGACCACATGGATGTAACTTACTCATGTCCTTCTCTTCCCTGCTCTCCAGCCTCCGGAAACTGCTCTGGACATCTCGCACCCCAAACCCACAGCTCTCTCCCACTCTCCTTTTACTGTGCGGATCACTTAGCGTCTTTTCTAGAAGGTCAGAATCTTTCCTCTTTAAGAGGAGCAAGGAAGGGAAGAACTGTAAGAATTCAGGAATCTTTTCAAATAGCAGGGAGAGAGGCATGTGAGCACTTACCCCTTCATCTTTATAGGCCTTCCTAGCATTTTGCCCCTCTGTCCCCTGAAGTGACTGGCCCTGGCACGCACGCCTGGGAGGAGCCAGAAACGCTCTTGCTGGGCAGAACTGAACCCCGAGGAGCCAGGCAGCAAGGCAGGGTCAGTGAGCAGGGCACGTTCTCCCACACAGGCACAGCTTGGGCCGGGGCCGGGTGGGGGCAGAAGGACACTAGCAGGGTTGCCCCCCAACTTGCCCTTGATGTTTTTTCACATCACCTTCCCACCCACCCCAACCCCAGCCCAGTGCTGGCCTCCAAAGAAGGACCAGGATGCTGTTCCCCCTGCCAGAGCCTGAAGACTCTGTTGGCTTGGGTAACAGGTCCTAGGGCTGTGGCCTGGCAGGAGATGGGTGAGGTTAAGGTAAGGACTTGGACTCTTGCTTTTCCTCCCAGGGTGGTAGCTTGACCGTAAGAAGCTGCTTCCTTTTGCACTTTTAGCTCATGGAAGTTAGGCTTATGGAAGAATTTCAGAGAAACTTAAGATTTCTGCAGTCACTTCGCCAGGAAATCGGCTCATTATTTTGTAAATAGTTCTCTAAGACCTTGTTTGTTTCTATCTTAGGTGGTTTCCTTGGCCTGCCTTCTGATTTTCTGAGAAATCATGGTCTTGCCTCAGTTTTTCCCATCGTAGCTGTGGTCAGTTATGTAGCTGCTCTGCTGCACATGAGGCCTGGCCCTCCCGGGGCCGCGCGCCCGGCTGGGGAGCCCCAGGAAGCCGGTGGTGAAGGCCCTCCCCGAGCCCCATGGTGAGCGCATCGGCGGAGGCCATGTCCTCGCTCTGCGTGAAGAAAGGACACTAAGTGCCAGCAGCTGGTGAGAGAATGGGACTCCGGTTTCTCGGTTTAGATCGTAGAACTCTCGTCAGGGTTTTTCTTCCTTGGAAGCCAGGAAAGAAGCAGAAGCAGATATGAGAAACTGCATAACCAGAGGGTTGGGGATCTTGAATATGCATTTGTTCATTCCCTAAATTCCTTCAAGAATTTTTAAGCATTCAGTCTCCACAGTTAAGTAGATCTAAATATGAAGTCTGTTTCTGCCACTAGCCAGCTGCATGTACTTGGGCAATGACTTTACCTACTGAAGCCTTGGGTGTTTTAAGTGTAAAGTGGGGAAAATAACAGCCACCTACCTCCCCAGAAGATTGTTGTGAGGATTAAGTGAAAATGAAAAAAAGAAAATTGCATGTGGAGCATTAGTCCTGTGCCTGCTGAATGGTCTCAGTTGTTGGCAGGTATTCTTTTTCTTGGAAACACCCCCAGAAGGCTGTGAGGGTGGCAGTGAGGGTGAGGTGACAAAGATCGTCCCTTTACGTGGCTCCTGATGGGCGGTCCTGACACAGGACATGACAGGAACCACGAGAGGAGAACAGAGTGGAAGGGGCATGTAACAAACAGACCAAAGCTTCAAAGGGAGGATTGACAGACATGGTGTGGCTCCGAAATGCAAGCTGAGTATAACAGAGCACCCGCGCTTCCTGACGGACCCTGAGCACAGTGGGCAAAGTTGCAAAGAGATAAATTAAAAACGACAGGTGAGCGGGCTTGTCACCAGGCTGACAGGAGGTAAGCAAAGGAGAAAAAAGCAGACTGGGATAGATAAATAAGCAACCCCTGCAGGTAGGGATAACAACAGCCTTACCAGCTGAGATAGTGAGAGGCAGCCTGCCGCAGAGGCCAGAATTGAACTTGAGATGTAAGATTACAAAAAGAAAATGTATGCAGACTTTCATAGATTTCTCTGGTACTTCCACTGTTTTCTTCCCACAACACTCAGAAATCCACCCTGGATTTATTCCCAGGAGGGATGCCAGAGCATTCTCCTCACCCTTTGCCAATGCCTTGGAGATTTCACGGTAAAGTTCTTGGGATGGGATGAATGGTACAGAGTGTGATCAGCACGAGTTGCTGAATCCTGGGAACTCTGATTGGGGCAGATGCCGGCTGTGCAAACTATGTCTAGACATGGAAATTGTGCTCCTAATCTCTCAATCTTGCTTTCTCTACATTCTCTGACAACGTGCTATCTCTGTAAACATTCTCGCCACAGGAATGGAGCTGGAAACACATGTGCAATCAGCAGTCACAGCAGCTACAAAGAGGGTTATGAAATCTGCTCAAAAATAGCCTGCTTGCCCCATAGGCATGCAAAGCAGCCAAACAGCCAGGGTGAACGTGTCAGGCGGCAGATTTTGCTCTGCATTTCAAGGGGCCCCCAGTGACCTGCTGTACTTAGGTGCAAAGGAGCTCACAGCTGGTCAGAAGCTCCCAGAGGTGACCTGAGCCTGTGGACAGAGCCCCCTGCGCAGCTGTGAGCTATGAGTCCCTGGCATCAGTTCCTGCTCCAGGGGAGGCAGTGCCCAGCCTCCAAGAGATGCCAGGACTAAGCCCACCTATCCTACTTACCCTGAAAATCCTCAGCCCTGGCAATGTTTATTTGGGTTAAAAACGTTGAGGTTACATAATGTTTACCTGAGTCAAGAATATAAAGAGCCCTTAGAATCTACTTAATGCATCAGCTGACTAGTCCCCTTGCTCAGCCGGGATGGTCATTTTTCTACAGTGGGTGAGCAGGAGGCAATTTGGCCGGTACTCAGAGTCTCAGCGACATGGTGCAGGCGCAGCTCCACTCTGCGGAGCCTGGGGTGGGAGGCGAGACTGCCGAGTGGCGGTTGTCCGTCTGCTTTGTCTCCAGCACCAACTGCTTGTGTGACTTTTGGCCCAGTCACACCGGACCTCTCGCTTTAGTCTTCTGTGCAAGTGGGAAGGTGCTCTTTCCTCTGAGTCTCACTCATAATGGGGAAAGGAGTCAGGTGGCTGCCCCTTACCATGTGTCTTTGGAATTGGATCTCAGTCAACTCAAGGAATGATTATATTACTGATGCAATTGCAGAGGAACTGGGGATATTTTTGTCAATACTATTCTTCATAGGTGAAGAGACAGGGTGAGTCATCTCTATTCTGGTGGGAAAGAGCACTGGGCTAGAAGTGAGGAGAGCAGGGCTCTGAGCCAGGTCTGTCACGTTGCTTCGTGTGAGTTACTGAACCTCTCATTACTTCCTTCAGTTAAGCTAGATCAAGAACCGGAAACCAGGAAAGGGCCCTGGGCAATCACAGGGACCAGGCTGAGGGAGCGTGGAGGGCACTGCTAACTCACAAAGAGGCCAGCTTTCTTCTTTGTGGGAGCCCAAAATGCACGCTCCTTCCCTTCTCCTGCCTCCCAGCCACACCCATTGCCTCCCTGCCCTTTACAGGCAGCCAGGTTGGCCCTGGCCCAGACTGGGTTTTTGTTTTGTCAAACTAACTCCCAGGCTTCTGCCGGGAAGTGGACACTGTTGGGAGTAGTGTGAATTCATCTTTGGTTTTGGGGTGGAACTTGAGTTGCTTATCCAGGTGCATCATGGCTTGGCTTAGACCATGCCCTTCTGCAGGGCTGTACTCCACACCCTTTCATGGGAAGCACACCACCTTCTATTCCACCAAGGGTGCTGGTCAGCGTGACCCAGGCAGAGCATTTGAAGCAGTGGACCCTGTCTGTAGGAAGAGCCAGGGGCTCTAATTGGCCTGTGCCTTAGAACTGTGTCTACACTTATTTCTGAGGAACCTCTTTGAACTTGATGACCTTTACTCTTTCCCCTGTGGCCCTTTTAGGGCAAAGAGAAAATAAGGCCTGGTCCTTTAGTGACTTGAGGCTTGTCTTACAGTCAGTTAACCTGTCCCGAGTCCTGCTCTAAGTGTCACAGTTGCTTCCCAGGCTGGGACCTTGAGCTAGTGCCCACCATACACTACATGCTGTTTTCTCCCCTTGTGAGCCTGGGCTGGGGACACCCTAAGCCCTGCCCCTCCATCACACTGGTTCTTCAGAAAACCTGTGCAAGACTTAACATGCCATTGTGGCTCCTTCCAGTGGGCTGTGACAGTAAGGAAAGGTGTCTGTTTATGTAGGGATATCACTGAAGCAGAGAGTCTGAAATCCATATAATCCTGCAAGCTTGAAGGCTTTGACCTCCCCAGATGCTTTCTTCACATTTCGCACCAGGCAGCTTGGGCTCCACCAACCTGGCTGTGAAGACCTGGCAGCTGCTTGGGCTGAAAATAGCACTTGCTTTGAGTTTTAATCGCAGCATGAGAAGGTACTCACGTACACACACCCCGACATGCAAATGTGGGCTCAGAGGCTGTTTCAGGCACCGGGGCTGAGTTCACATGAGGCTGTGAGGTGAAGCTGGAAATGAGCTCTGGTAGCCGAGAAGGCGGATGAGCTGAGAGCTTGTCATGTGGGGCTGTCATTTCCTTCCTGCAAACAGCAGGTGGAAGGAGCCACCTGAGGCTCAGTGGCCAAGTGCCTTCACACTTGCAGCCTGGGACAAGCTTTTGGGGGAAGAGGAAAACGCATGCTTATTGTTTCTGTTTTAAGCAAAACCTCTAGTATTCTCCCTTTAGCTCCAAATGATCATCTTTAATGTGTTCAAATCATTACACAAAAGTAAAAGTGTGAAGGAATCTGTTACATAGGGTGGCGATGTTGACATGGAAGGCTCGGGGTCTCTCTGCCCACGGTGCCTGTGTCACCTCTCTCCCACTTCTCACTTTCCAAGGCCCCATCCCATGCTCAGCCTGGGCACAGACCGGTAGCTCTTAAAATATAGGACAACATATATTCAGATATTTGAACCATGGATAGAATGTTCCAAACAATATCTATGGTGTTTCTCTGTCTCTCCCTTCTTTCTGTTTTCTTACCTTGAGCAAATAGACTCTATTAGAAAGGTCATTGTGCAATACTCTAAGATGATTGTTGATCTATTTTCATTTTTCCCATCATGTCCCTCAGCCAGGAGGCTTAGTGGACCAATAGAAAGTGCTCAGGCCTTAGAGACAGATGGGTTTAGCTTTGAATACCAGCCATGCTATTTGCAGCTGTAGAATCTTGGATAATTTGCCTAAATCCACTGGCCTTCTGTGCACTGAGAATAATAGCTGCTTTGCAGGGCTTCTGTGAGGTTTCAATAGGACACTGTGTATAAAGCAGATATATAAAGTGATTGCATCTGTGGAGTGATCATGTAACATTTTTGAGACTCTTAATGAAAAGCAAACACCATGGAGATACAGAGAAAGGACTAACCCAGGCATAGCACACCATCAGCTCATTACGCCCAACCAGTTTGACCTTGGCACTAGCAAAATGTCTCTACAGCAGGGTGCATGTGGGAGGAGGCTGGGCTATGGGGCCTTTCATTCCACATGCCATTTAAATCTGCTGCCAGGCAGAACTGGGCCTGGAAGTGCAAACTCTGCTAGAGGCCAAAGTTGGAGTGGAAATTGCTGAAGCAATTTCTCTAACATTTATACAAAGTGTTATAAATAAAATAAATTTAACAAACTACTCAAAAGGCATGGCAAGCTCATCACCTACTCTGTCTTCAGGGAGTATCAGTCGTTTAAATATCTTCCCTCCAAGGTACAGAAAGAATCCAAAAGCATCTTGTGGCATAGAGGAGAGAGCCTAACTTGGAGCCTAGAGACCCACAGTTAAGCCTCAGCAGGTGACCTTAGGTAAGTCATTTGCTTTCTCTGCACCTTAGTTTCCTCATCTGTGACGTAAGGATGAGGGTGATAATAATATTTGTACATGCCACATATTATAATGAAAGTCAACTGAGACTGTGCATTTTAAAGTCTTCTGTGTGGTTGTCTCACTCTGCAGGAAGGTCTTGAATCCTTTCCAGTAACTTCTGTTGGATCAGCAGATTTCTGGTGGTAATTTTATATGCTTGAAAAGGTACAGACTATCTCTAGGCAGTGCTTCTATCA